TATGAGCCAATGGGCTTACAAGAAAAAATGAGCCCAATGGCTCAGATAGAATCTGGGCCGATCTAACGATCACGGATGCCCGATAGTGTTTGAATTTTAATTTTTTTCTACAAATCGAAATCACTTGAAATTTTAGACGTGTATTGATAAAAAATAGGTGAATATTCGAAAAATATTTAAAAAATATTTTACATGAAAAAAATGACCAAAATACCCCCATAAATTTTTGGGGGTATTTTGCTCATTTTTAATTTGGCGAATTAGTATTTTTTATATTTTTATTAGGTGCAGCTTGATGAGAAGAATATTCACCTAAAATTTCTAGTGATTTGGATTGTAGAAAAAAAATTAAAATTCAAATACTCTCGGCCGTCTGATTGGCCCAGATTCAATCTAGGCCATTGGGCTTATACTATTCTGTGGGCTAGTGGGCTCCCCCAAGCGTCTTCCATATATATATGCGTGTGTGTGTGCGTGCATGCGTGCGTGCATGTGTGTGTGAGCGCCCACGCGCGAGATAAATAGTTGACATTGCTGATTTTGTTGACAGGTCATGGCCATGGTGCAACGAGGTGAAAAACCTCCTGGCATCCGGGTATACGTTCTTTTGCTGCCTTATTTTTCATAAGTTATAGTGGATCTTAGCTTATTGGTTTTTTGCATGCATGCTTTAACATGAATAACCATCTGATATTCAGGAAATCAATGACAAAGTTCCAAATGCAACACAGCCTTTGACAAATTCCCGCCTGGTACCTAAGTCAAAGGTATATGGACATTTTCTAAAATCTCATAATAACGTATTCCATTTATGTCATACTCCAAGCTTGACCAGGCAGCCAAGTCAGCTAGTCAACTCGGGCATTTACTTTGCCTATTGATAATTTTTTCAATGCTCCAAACCAAAAAAAGGAAGTACTGCAGTGTTTCGGCTGATTAGAGGAAGTCTTCGAGCATATTTCAAATAAAAAAATACAAGGATAATATTAATAGGAATTGTTAAAAATAAAGCAAATTATTACTCTACTAAATGTTTGTTATGAATTTAATTTTTGAAAATTTAAACACCTTTTATGTTAACATGTTCAAAAAAAAAATTAAACGCTATTATTACTGCTGTATTCATTTAGAGTGAGAGAAAATTTTTCTATTCTCTTTCAAAAAATAGTAAATCTTTCACGAATAGATACTTTACGTGACCTGTCACGTGGAATGCACTTTTAAGTAGACATTTAAAATTTTAATAAAGCTTTTTCTCTTTTTTTTTTTTGATAAGCCCATAAGTACACATGGCATGTGAATATAAGCTATAGTTCATTGGAAGTGAAGATAAAAACATTTCAAACTTGTTCCTCTGCTCAACCGAAATTTCCTCCCTTTGTTATGCTTTGGTGGAATGGCTAGTCCCAGCGGCTTTGGGCAATTCTCCCTAAGTGAAGTGAAGTTAATAAAATTGCTTAACAGTTTTTCTTTTAGACTATAGATTAGCTTGAATTTGTTGTTCCTTAATTAATGTTTATTTGCCTTGTTAATTACCATTTCTATGATAGCATATTTTATGTCAATGACTACTATAAAGCGTAATACACTGACTTGTAAGGCTATGTTCCAGCTTCTAAAACATTATTGTATTTACTAGAACAAATATCTTGCACAAAAAATCAGGGCTCCATTTTTGTTTAGAGGAATTTGTTTTGTGTATAGTTATTTATGAAGTAGTAAGCCAAGTAGTAATTTCATTATTTCTTCCTCACCAGAATCTTTTGTTACTGACACCATAGAATTGGCAGATGAATGGTGTTGGAGAGAGAAATGGACCTAATACTTGGGCCGTTTCATATTCTTCTAGGTCGTACTCTTTTTATAATGGATGGATGGGGGGTTAGGATAATCAGGTGGAACACAATTTGACAGTTCTAACTCCTACCTCTTCCTTTCTCTATGTATATAAATCATATATGGTTGCATTTATATGGCAAATCATTGAAGGTGAGTTGAGTCTGGGTTGTTGCATCCGGTAAACTAAGAGATAGGCCGAGCCGATTCTGATTTCCGAGTTTTAGAACTATGCTTCTAACTACTTAACAAGGTGAATCATGGAATAAGGCCATTGCATGTTACTGCTGGTGTGTCTCATTTGTGGTTAAAAGCTAAAACCGCTAGTCTGATGGATGCCTGTTCCTGATGAATGACGAAGGTGTGCTTCTATATTTTGAGAATGGGCTATGACAGAGGTGGTTATAGTGGTGAGTGTCACAACATGACATCTAGAGTTCCATTCTCACCAATGCATATATGTTTTTATGTTTATGGACATGTGAGTTTGTAAAAAAACATGCTCCACAATTGCGCATAAATGGATGATAATGCTTTTTAGATGTTCAGGTAAATGTGTGCATAAATAGTACAAGTTTGTATTTTTCATTAGCTTTTCATACACAATCTTTATGTGCATGTGCCCATGATTAGATTTTTATAAAGTTTTTTAGCATTTAAAAGTAAAAAGTACAGTAATCTCTATATATATATACATGTTAGATTTGTTGTAAATGTTTGTTAGCTTTTGAAATGGGAAAGTGTACCATGGTTCCCATGACTATGGAAAATCCAGAGTCTCACTATCAAGTGGAAAAGTCTACGATGGTTTTTTAGCTTTTGGTTGGGAGGCGGAAAGAAGGTGGGACCTGCCATTGGAGGATCATGTTCTGGAGGGTCCCGCTTACCCCGTCACCATCTAACCAATGATTGATTGCAAAGTGGTGATCCTCATGCCCACGAATTTTAAATTATCACAAGGAGTGTAGTAGACTTTTACTTTTTGAAAAAACAAAACTGAATATCGTAGAACCTGTAATCTTTGTATACATCCATATGATTGTCATGTGTTTTTTAAGCAGCCTTGGGAAGATACAAGTCGGGTTCAACCCAGTTCCATATACATCTCTCAGACAGAAACAAAGGTCGTGGACTCTCCCGCATCGGGGCAGGGAGCCTACTATGCAAATGGGTCCGCGACCCAAACACAATACCGGCAGCCATTACGTAATGGCACTCCTATGGCAGAGCAACAATGGTGGAAACAGAAACCGGAGCCCAACCCCAGCTATTCTTTTAATCCTGATCGAGGTGCCAATGTGACCATTACTGAGGCAGAGCCCGAGAATGATGGGCTCCAAACCCAGCATTCATGGGCTCCTTCAAAAGAGTCCTTGCCCAGGCGTGCCTGGGTCCCACCTCCTCCCCCTCCGGTGGCAATGCCTGAGGCTGCTGATGCCATCCGACGGCCGAGGTCTAGTGGATGGGTTGAGGGTGCTGGGGATGAACGGTCCACATCAAGCTTGGGCATTGGAGTAGAGCAAGATGGGCCATCTGAGACTGGTGTATTGGGTTCAGTGAAGTATGACAACTCTGAAGTATATGGTGGTACGAGCGCTGTAGATGAGGATGGTTCAGGGAAGGGTTTGGATACCATTGTCCCTTTAGAAACCGAGGCACAGTAGGATTAGGGGAATGACTCCTACTTGGTGGAATTCTGTGGTTTCATTTCTCTCTCTCTCTGTGCGCGGAGTTAATTTTCAGCATTCATTGGATGCTGGTTGTATATATTTGTTTGTGCTTTTAAGAGTCCTGGAAACAGAAGATCACTTAGAGCTTTCTGTAGACTTGGGCTGCATAGTTACATAATAAGTGGTGGCATCTCTTCTAAGTTTTGCTTTTGCCATGAGAATGTTGGGTGCTGTTTATGCTTGGCGAATGCTGTGACCCATTAATCTCTCTCTCCCTCTCATGCTCCGGGAACATTTTGTTCTCTCTCTTATGCTCGTGGAGCATTGTAATCATTTTGCCCCTCTCTCTCTCTATTTATGCTTGCTGAATCTTATCGCCCATTTCTCTCCCTTTCTCTACTTATGCTTAGGGATATTGTGGCCTAGTACCCACTCTTTTTTGAACGTCTACTACTCTCTCTCTCTTTATGCCTGTGTTTTACGGCTATATCTGCACGGGGATGTATATGTTAGGGTTACTAAAAATTTTCAGTTGCAGGAAAATGCAAGTATATCAGGCTCGTAAAATGCATTCCTAGCTTCGAACCCTTAAAACTTAATATTACTAATGTTTTTCTTTGGGGCATTTGGTTTTGGTTGCTTATCCAATCAGTTACTGATCGTCAGAACAAATTATATAAAATATGTGGGAAGTAGCAAATTTATCTTTAAACTAAATATATATCCTTAAATGTGAAATCCAAGTACATCACAATATTCGAAATTTTTTTCTTATTATATACATTTCGTTGATCAAGCACTAAGTATGAAATAAAAATTCACAAATGTTGTGAAGTACTTCAATATGTTGGATTTTACATTTAATGGCGAAGAGTAATCAGTCTCTTTGTATCAAAAGTGAATGGCCTCATAGTATATTATTTACGTATTTTATTTTTTTAGTTTTATTTAGTCTAGAAGGAATTTTGTGAACTATTGATTCTTCTTTATTTATGGAATAAATCTCCCAAACAATAGCCAAACCTGCATTTGGCTACCACATTTTATCTCGGGCAGTTTGTGTTTCGAGAACCAAGTAGTTTTGTATGAAGAAAAAGTTTATATAAGATGGAAATATTATACAGTAAAGAAAAAAAAAAAAAAAAAAAAAAAAAAAAAAGGCTACCCCCCAAGAAATCCATCGAAAAAGGTAGCTCTTATGTTGAAAGTCTCTCTAATTGATCATCTCAACTTTTAGATGTACAAATTTGGAAAGGAAAAAATATATATTTTAAAGTAAAGAAATGGTATATCTTGTAATACATTATTTAGAGTCTAGATGATCTATTCTCAAGATTTTAATATGTTTGTAGATCTGTTTGATTTGTATCATTTTTTTAGTTTTAGATTTCATAATTAGATGTAAAGTAGATTTAATATCATCATTGAAATTTCCTACACCAAAATTATATCTTTCGACGAGCTCTATCTTTCGACGAGCTTTAGAGCTGCGCCTTACTTGAATTGTTTAAGATTGATACCTCATATAAACCACTCCCTTTTCGTATGTAAGTTTAAAACAAATAAGGGTACGGTTTGCATAAGGTTGCAATCTTAAACAATCAAAATAATATGCCCCACCAAATTTTATTATAAAATGTAATTTTGGTGTCAAACTTTATTAGGATAGCCTAAGAATCCATTTTCATCTTTAGTTATAAAATTTTAGACTCCAAAAATGATTCAAATCAAGTAGATCTATAAAGACATGAAAATTTTGAAAATGATTTGTCTAGATAATGTATTACAAGATGATCAATTAGAGGGCTTTCCAACTTCAAAACAACTTTTTAAGATGGATTTTTCATAGCACTTCACTTATACATTTCAATGTTGCAAGACGCCTCTCTCCCTCCCTCATACCAGATACGTTAGTTCCCTTCAAATTTACCAAGAACGTCACTGGGATATGAGTTGCTAATTTCAAGCATACAGGTTTCAAAATGCGTAAAATCCATTTTTTGTGTAACATTAAAAAAAGAAAGGGATTGACATTAGCATCTTTAATATTTATCTGGCATCTCTGAAAAACATCTCTGATTTCCTCAAAACAGCTGCAAGACTCCATTGAGGAGATGCCTCTCTGGTCGACCATTTGATCATGTTCTGGGAGTCTCTTTCGGCCTCTTTATCCCCTTGTAATTCTCATAAGAGTCTTAGTCTTTGAAGCAAGATTTTTCTTCTTCCTGTTTTGCTATAGCCTCAACACAGGGGCTGAATAAGTTGCCAATGTAAATTTCTAATTAAACCTCCCATTCCTACTTTGTTAGGATTCTCCAACGAAGCTTTTATCGAAGTTGAGTTTACATATTCCCCTCGTGGTGGTTAGTCTTTGGATTTTCATTTGGGAGACTTCTTTGAAGTTGAAGATGATGTCAAAATCTCGCAGTCACCGAACTCCATGCTTAAAAGCCCATAATTGGACAATTACTGCATGACATGGTAGCAGAGGCACCGCATACGCAAGAGGGACAAGACCTTCATTATCTCTGAGTAAACCACCACTCCCTGCTTGTTGATCAAGCCCTTCAGAGCTTCCATTAAAATTGAGCTCCATCCAACTGCTGACGCAATACACCTTTTATCTCTATTGTGGCGCTAAATCTTGAGATACATGGAGGTTCTCGAAACTATCCTCCTTGGATAAACCCATAAATTCCTTCGATGCTTTACCCACATAATCGTAGAGGTCATGATAGAGTCCCTAGTCTGATGTTGATTAGCTCTTGGAAAGCCCGTTAATTTTTTTCCCTCTATATTTGCCATCGGATTGCCACAATAGCAATACAACATAACCAGATGCCTGACTGACTCAGGTAAAAAGAGGTGAAGAATGGTCAGCCACTCAGTAGAGGCACAAGGGGTAAACGAATAATACAATTCAAAAAAACTTGTTCAACATCAAGAGCCACACCACGGAGAGCAAAAGGGCAATGTAAGAACAAGTGGTCATTTGATTCAGCATCTCTTTTGCACATTAGCCATATGTTTGTAGTAATTAGCCCTCGTTTCTATAGCTGTTCGATCGATAACGTGAGGTCCCTAAAATAACGGTCCTCGATTAACAGAGCATACATGGATTTCACAGTATCGATAAAGTAGCCATTACCAAAGTTTTCCAAACTAGTGCTTCCTGCTCTGTAAAGTGGAGATGATAGCCATTGTTTTACCAAAGATTTCCAAGCTAGTGCTTCCTGCTCTATAAAGTGGAGATGATAGCCATTGTTTTAGCATATTAGTATGGTACACAGAGTCACCAGATAGAGGTAGTGTTACTCAAGGACAGCCAAAGATAATACATAAAAGGAAAAAGTTTATAAAGGTTATCCTTACTAGGGCTAGTAATCTACTATCCTCTATTTGAAAAGTGTAGATTCAACGGTGGAAGACATGTCGTTTTTTTAACGTTGTCTTAAAACACGTATCAAATATGTGTCTGTTAGTTAAACATCAAAAAAATAATAATTTTAACTAATTAAAACAAAATGCTAAAGAGTAATAATCTTATAAGACCTTCTCTTATCCATGTGTGTAGGACCCCAAAAGCTTATTATAAAATTGGTATAAATCTCTAAAAAAGTTATCACATGCGTACGATACTTGACTTTTCTATATATCCATACCAACTTTAATGGTGCTTTTTTGGGGGTCCTACACATGTAAGTAGGTCCTATAGGATCATTTTTCAATGCTAAAAAATAATGATTTTATAGGACCCTCCCCTACCCATATACATAGGATTCCAAAAAATCGCCATTAAAGTTAATACAGATCTCTAAAAAAATTATCATATAAGTATGAAACTTGACTTTTCTAAAGATTCATACTAACTTTAATAATGATCTTTTTGGGGGTCCTATAAACATGAATAGGGGACGATCCTATAGAATCATTACTCTTTAATATTGAGAAATGATTTAATAGGATCATATCTCACTTATATTTATAGGACTCCAAAATATTACCATTAAAATTGATATATAAATGTAATATATCCATAAAAACCCCTTTTTTATTTTATTTTTTTTCTTGTGGCGTTTGGTTAGGCATTTGTCTTTTCAACTTCCACTATCGTGTGGTGCGGGAGACGTTAGGGCAGTCCCGTAATTCTATGAAGAGCAAGTGGCATTTTACCGGCCTGGAACCAAGATATAGACGCCGGGCGCATCAACACGGCGCTAACTATGAGGAAACCTTTTTATCAGAGTGCTTTACGTTATTCCAGAGAGAGCGAGACAGAGATGTGATTTTAGGAGGGAGAAAGAAGCGAAAAAATGGTGAATGAAAAAGCAGTTTTTGATATATTGAGCTCTGAGCAAAAGGTGGACGTTGATAATCGCCTTCCTTTAGCTTATTACTACAGAATTGCTTCTCATATGATTAACCAGGTTATTAATTCCCCTCTCTCTCCGTCCCCCCCTCCTCTCTCTCTCTCTTATTTCTTTGTAGTCAAGGGCTTGATTTTGGTATCATTTGATTTCAGGCGAAGATTTATCGGGAAGAAAACAACATTATCGATCTTTACATCATTCTGCTCAGATTCTCCAGGTACCTCCATTGATTCTTGTTTCTGTGTCTTTCATTTTCTTTTTATTTGTCATGTGTTTTCTGGGAAATTCGGATAATTAAGCATTTGAAAGTTGAAACCCAATTGAGATTGTAACTATGTAATAAATGTGTGAACGTTTGTTTGCTGGATTTGTTAGGAGTTTTGACCAATTTGATTAGCATGATGCTTTGACATAATTAGATAGAACATGTGGCTCTAAATTAGGTTCATACTTTTTTGTGTTGTTTTAGGCATTTGTAGCTCCTAGAATATGGTTTGTAATTCATACTTGTGTTTTGGGTTGATAATTTGGTTGGTGTCATTATTCAATTGTTTTGAATTCAAATATTTTTCTGTGAAATATACCTGATTTATCTCCTATATGCATTTTGTGAACTACTTTGATGCATTCAATAACGTTTTTTTAGTTGATTTATAGATCATTTCGGAAAGGTGATTTGTATAAAGTTTCGCTCCTATTTTTTTGTTCATTTACTGCCCCTATCAGCGGATAATTACGTGAAAGAGCCAAAACATCCCAGATACAAATACCCATAAGGACATATGAAATAGAATTCATGTTTATTTTCAGCAATTCTCACGTGGTTATTTTCATCATGAGAAATCCCCGTTACCTGAATATGATGTCAAGTTCTGAGTGCTAGGTTTCAATCAGGGTTTCAAAACTCGGTTGGGTAGACTCAAGCTCGGCTTAGTAAATTGGCCTTGGCACCCTGCCAATGCAAGTTTCTAAGACAAACTCAGGTTTCTTAAATTCATTTAAAAAATAGAAAATTTTGTTAGTAAATCACTAATAAATGTTTCAAAAATATGTTTTTATAATAGGTTTTTGTGTTTTATGATGATTTGTGATTTTTTCTTATTAAATGCTATTATGCTATAATTTTCTATTTTTCCCTTCTTTAGATTTTTCTGAATTATTTTCAAGCTATAAAACATTTTATTTTTCCATAGTTCATCTTCTATATACTTTTTTCATCTTTTATAGATTTTAAATATGTTTATAATTAATTTTGCTTGTTACTGATTTTTTAAATATCTTTTACCCTTTTTTTTTTTTTGCGATTTTTGGGCCCTATTTGGATTCATGCAAGACACAGTTCTGGCAGGGGCTGGGGCTGAGTCCTAACCCCGAGCTGAGATTTTAACATTGGTATCATAGGCATACATATCATGTAATTTATGCTATACTATCCATCTAAAAATTACTTATGTTTTAAAATAGATACGATGTATTATCATTACCCATAACATTTTAAAATATGCATTATATGATGTACTCCGATGACTAGTTTGTGAGTACCATTATGTCTTTTTGAAGACTATGAGTTTCTGGTTTTGTACAACGCTTTGATGTGATTCTACTGTTAGAAGCAGTAAGGGCTACTTCTGGAGTGGCTCTAATATCTGGCCTAAGTGCAAAATCTTTTTTCTTTTTGCATATGCTTTGTCATTCATGAGCTTATATATTCTCTAAATCTCTCTTGTGCACATATAAAGCTTGGTATCAGTGACTATACCGCAGCATCAACAGTATCCAACATATTCTGGAAAAGACAAGCTTCACTGCAAGAAGGTATGACTTTAACGCTAGTTATTCTTTCTTCTATTTGCAATATTTTATGGTGTCATTGAATTCTGAAGAAATTCCTGTCAATTGAATCATCTTTTATGAAATTGCTAATCAAGCTTCTTAAAAGTTTTAATCTCTTGTACATAATTTGAGCTCCTTCATATTGAATTTTGAAAGAACCACAGGATAAGTTTAGGTTAATGTTTGATTTTTATCAACTTCAAGGGTATTTTATCAGATATTGCGAGACTTCATCAGTGAACTGGAAAATTTGAAGCCTATAGTCCAAGAGAAGTTCAATGAGATCAACAAACAGTGTGGAGGGCATAACCAAAAGATGCCTCATTCAGAAGTGTATGGTGATAAAAAGGTATGATGTTCTTTCTGTTCTTTAAGGCATCTACTCTAAATCACTCAGCTTGCTATAAGTTTTACCTAATTTACATGCATATGGATGGCTCGGAGTACAGTCAAGGATGCCTCATAAACTACACGAAGGGAAGCATTTGCTCCCCAATCCTGTACAGGAGCAACTAAAGAAGTTGTAAGTTTCTATGTGTTGAACTTTGGCCTTGCTGACTTCCTTTTCAAAGCTTTATTTGCTATTATTAAATGACTTAATCCTGATCATATCTGCATCTATTTTTGAGTAAACTTCTACTGGATAGATTTAAGGAACAATGATTTAAAAGCTGGACTCACTCCAAGACTCGTTTGGTCCCTGGTGTGAGTTGAATCCTGGGCTGGCTCAACTAGTCTTGCCCCAGTCCATTTAAAAAAGAAAGAAAAAGCACACACACACAAAAAAAGGAGAAATAAGGACAAAAAATTTCAAAACAAAAATAAAATGAATACATACATAGGCTTGCTGTAATTTCTGTTTGACCTCCCAATTAATATTCAATGATACAAATGAATTGTAATCATGAATGCATAGTTAAATATTGGCTGAGTTGTTACTTTCTTGGCGAATAGTAATCACCAGTGTTACTGCAATACGTGGCTTATGGCTTTGGTTTGCGTATCAGTTTTTTCTACCAACACTGGTAATCATGCGAGCATACCACACTACTAATGAAAAATTATATGTTTTTATGAGGAACACAATGTTTTTTATGTATATAGAATAGTTAAATATTTTCTATATTTGGGTACTTTATGAAAAAGATAACGATGAAAATTTTAAAATATGTAAAGAAAATACCAGATCAATGGAAAAACAAAAACACTAGAATCTTCATCTATCAAAATTTCCCATGGAAATACCTATTAAATCCCTAAATATTGGGGTTTAATGATAAATTTCATTAATGTGGGAACTCTTTCTCTCTCTCTCTCTTCTCCCCCTCTCTCTCCCTCTCTTACACACACAAAGACACACACACAAGCACAAGCATCTACCTTCCTCGAAAACCATGAAAATATGATACAATATCCTCTGTTAGATTTGAGAAAGATTTGAAGGGACAGGGAATGGCTCTGGCATAGGTGGTGAAGGGGGTCCTCTATTAGATTTGAGAAATATTTAAAGGGAGAGGGAATGGCTCTAGGAATAGGTGGTGAAGGTGGTGGGTGCTACAATGTTGACAACATGATGTCTAGAGTTCCATTCCTACCAAGTCCCAAGTTAACATTCAAAAGAAAAAGATATAAATGTAGAGAAAGACGCAATGAGATGATAGTGGAGTAGACAGAGATTTAATGAGAGAGAGATGAACTAGATGATATAAAAGCGACCTAAAGTAAGTATCCTGAATTCTTCCTTTTTAAGATTCCATATCCTATTCCTACAATAAGCTCTTTCTCACCATAGGGCACCATTCTAGTTAGGGCAACATGTATCCTACCCTTAGTAAGGGCCACATGTGTCCTACCTTTCGTTGACAAAGCAACATGTGTCCTGTCCGTAATTGTCGCTTAATATGTATAGTATATAATTCCCATATCCTCTTGTGAAAATTCAGCCATGTCCTTCCTAGACAACAAATGAACCCCCTTGGCCTCTAGTAAAAACTTCAATTGGGCCATTGAATAATGAAGAAATTACCCACATAAGTTAGATGTCTCCCAATAAGTGAGGGCCCTTTTTGTGAAAGTGGTGTTTATAATTCCTTCCTTCTATCATAAACTTATGTATCTTGAGGGGATTATTGGCTGTGCACCGTGTGCTGTATGGGCACTCAAAACACCACATCACCCTCATGTGGGTTGTTGATAACGATGTTTTTTTCTTAAGTTGACTGCCGCTTTTGAAGATGATGTGATGATTTAGGTGCCAATGTAGTGTTTATTGGAGTTTGATAAAATTCTCCTGTAAATATAGCCATGTCGCAACATTCTTCTTTTGAAGGCTCAAAGAATCTCACACTTTGTACCCATGTCTAAGAGTGACACTATGGCTGGGCCAAGGCAGCATAGATAGTAATGCCTATTTCTAAGACCTTTCACTTATTATGACTTACTAATCCCTTCTATTCAAACTTTCATGGTGATTTTGCACATGATTTGATTCGATATAATTACTGTGAATCCAGCAGGGCCAATCTACTTGAAGGATAGTGCTTATACAATTCATATATGAAAAGAATAATTTTTTTCTTATGTGGGATTCTATAAACAAGGTATCTTAAGTTAAAATATGCCCTATGTGGTGTCATCCCCAATCATGAATGCAAGCCTTTCATTTATCCAATGCTAATTTAACCAAACTCATAATCATGCTTTACTATATTCTGTTTTAAAGATGAGAATTACAACTAATGTAAAAAATTAAGTGAAGTGTGGCAACAGTGCATAACTATCCACCTATCTCTAAAATGGGCTTACCACATTTTAAGCTGCAGTCTGGAATCTTACGATGTTAAATTTTCTTGGGGTGTCTCCTTGCTGCTATTGCCTCCATTATATCAACAACAAATCAAGCTGTAATATTGGAGTTTTGTCAATGCATGGATAGGCATCAGTTCTATTAACAGCATGATCAATGCCCTTATATTTTATTAAATTGTGGCCATTTCACTCTCCTTAATGAAGATCTCTTTGGTTTTGCCTGTTTTCAAATGAAAATTGGCATGCATATTTCCCTTGCTTTGTGAAAGGTTGACCCATGACATCAACATGAAGTTATGTTTCTGAGGGTATATTCCTTAATCTTTGCTAAGTATCTTGTACATTTTAACAATGCGATTTATGATGATTATGAGACTATATTGTTTTTGTCACAGCTCTTTGGGCACTATTTGTCCATCTGAGGACACTTTGGCAAGACATTCCTATCTTGGCGGACTTCAAAGCCAACAAGAATCATTGTATTCAAGGGTATAGTCCTTCTCATTACAATGTTGTGGTAATTTAAAGTTCTTTCTGTGAAGGGACTTGTCTAGCTTTTTTAGGATAAACCTACACGTCATTTTCTTTCTTTCATTAAGAAGTTGCATTTTCAAGTCTTTCCAGCACTATACTTTTTTGTTATTAAATTGACATGCTATTTTGGAAGATATTTTCAGATGCTTTCATTCTTTTCTGGACGTCATTATCGTATTGTTAAGTTATTTTATCAGTTTAGGCCCACAGAAATAACTGGATCAGGTTTGTTTCAAATGTATTGTATAATCAAGGATGATGCACATTTTCTTGTAATCATGTCATATTACCTGAACTAGTCGTTATATATCATTAGCATACGGGTTTGACACATATATTCTTTTGTACTGTTGTGAACTGATTTAAGATTTTAAAGGTAGCTTTTCATTTTCTTGGGTACATATTGATTTGTATCCTAGGTTTTATCAAGGGATGCTATCTAAGGAATAAAATGGAACTTGCAGGCTAATTATCCAAGTAGTCCCAGGTTCAAAGACAATTATAGAAGGTATTCAAATTGCTTTTTTCTTATGGCTACTTCTTTCCAGATGTCAGAATAGATTGCAGGATTGCTGACTATGGTTTGGCCATCTATGAGATATCATTCTTAATAGTGTCCCTCACATTACTTTTAAACAGCCCAGATGGTGAAAGTATCAGCACCCAGATAAGCACAGGAGATATTGGATTAGCATCTGTTGTAGAAGTGTACCCTAGCACAACTCGCATGCCATTCGATTCTCCTTCAACTTCTGTTCGTACTGGTGACTGTGACATAAATGTCCATATTGTTAGGCAGCCTTATCCATCTCCAGTTCTTGCTTGCACTCAGTATCTCTCTCATGAATGGAGCACTTTTCAATATGCTTCTCATGTGCCTATTGCTAAATCAAGAGATAGACTTCCAAGTCCCTTTGGTGAAGATTCCTCGGGGACTAAGGGCATTCAAAATGTACATATTGTAAGTTCTTAACTACTTCCATTCATTTTGTCCATTGTTGGTAATGCTCTTGTATCCAATTCATTTTTTAAATTGAAAATGGCTATCCTTGGGGACTCACTCTCTTTCATCATGCTTGGAATTTTTTTTTTTGGGGGTCAGTCAACAAGATTAATGGAAGACTTTCTTGAACTTGCTCGAGTGAACACCAGCAAGAACTTGGAAACCTGTGGTGTTCTCGGTGCTTCCCTCGTAAGTTATGGCTTTCCACTTACCACTAAGCTATAATCACTCAATAAATTCAAACATATAGGTAAAGAAACATGATGCAAAGTGAAGTAAAGGGTTTGATTGCTTTCTCAATGTAATAGTGTCCTGTTCCTGTTGTCTAGAAAAATCGCACGTTCTATGTAACGAGCCTGATAATTCCCAAGCAGGAGTCAACTTCTGATTCTGTAAGTTGATTCTCAAGGCATCCTACTTCCCTCAATTAGTTTTATATGACCTTTTTCCTTATATTCTTCGTGTCCTTATATATTGGAATAATTGATCTTGAAAATGCTACTTTCTTAAGTTCATGCATTTCATGAATGGCAGTGCCAAACTTTAAACGAGGAGGAATTATATGCTGTACAGGATGAAAAGTCTCTTTTTCCTCTTGGTTGGATCCATGTAAGTTTTGAAATGAGTTAATTCTTGTTCCTTCACTGTAATGCCATTGAACTGCACACTTTCTCTCTGAATTTAGTCTGCTGATATATTTATACATTTTCAGCAGTAGAGTAATTCATGTAAATATAAATTTAATCACTCATATATTAATCAATTTGCTAACTGTTATGGACCTTACAGAATCATATTGAGGTTTCAATGCAACTGAGAGAGAATAGGGAAACAAACCCTTGTATAATTGGTATTTATGATTTTATAGATGTATGAGGGAGTCTTTATATTATTTTCATGTATTACACGAAGTTGAAAGATGTTTTTTTTCTTTTTTGGTTTTTTAAAGCTTCGGTTTAGATATTTCATACACATACTTGCTCATATGGGCTTTAACCCCTTATTCGCGTGAATAGAATTTTGATTTCTCTCTTTGTTAACATGGTATCAGGGCTAATACAAGGCATTTTTTTTTAGAATGTCATTTCAATTATTTGAAATGACATTCTTGAGTGCTCCTTCATAGCCGAACTTCAATAGGTCTTCAGCTTCCACGATAAGAAAATGTGAAAAGTATGTTGATTCATGTTTTTGTGTCATTAGACCACACATGTGTAAGGGTAAGGGTGTTTGCACGCATCTGTGGCACATCTGATACCCAATCATTCAATGAATGACTCAACACACAATATATTACTCTCAGTCATAAAGTTAAGACATATGGTTGTGCCAGAGACTGTTTCCAGGCTAGACTGAAACCTATTTTATATTCTTTATGTCATTCCTTATTTTGTGGAAAATTCCTAGTACAAAACTTTGGTCGACAATACATAGTGTAGTGAAAATTATTTTGTCATTTGGGCTGCTTTTATTTGAATAACTCTTGAGGAAAAATAATGTATTTAATCATAAGAAAAATAAGTAATTCCTTCTTGCTATATTTTCATGTTCCTGACATTGATATACTGATTTTCAGACGCATCCTTCTCAATCCTGTTTTATGTCATCCATAGATTTGCATACTCATTACTCTTATCAGGTATGGAAATGATTCTGGTATTTTCTGTCTTTTGATTTTGAAAACGATTTAGGCGCTCTCTAGTACCATTCATTCCCTATTTGTTTCCTATGCTAGTGATTCTTGAAGTATGCTTATGCCCCTACATTTGGTTTACACCTGAAAGAAGTATATTTGATGATATTCTGGGTGCCATCGTTAATACTCTGTTAATTACATAATGCTGACGATAGCAAATTGGTGAAGCAAATTCTGAGAAAGTGAAAAGTTGTTTAGTTTGAGGTTATGCAGTAAAGCAACTAAATCAATTATTTGAAATGAAAGCACCTAAATCAATTATTTGAAGTGAAATTTCAGCATGTATAAAACATGTATAAAACATTTGAATTACAGTATTCAGATGTATAGTTCAAATTATTTTAGCAAT